GTACAATTTCTGGCTACTCTCACCTCTGGCTATAAAGCTTACAAAGATTGACCTAAATACCCAAGTTTATTGGCCTAAATACACAAGTTTTGCAGTCATGATAAAACTAGCATGCTAACGTGCACTTCCTGATGATCGGTCAGTAAAATGCTTTGAAGCAGACGGTACGCAGTGGCCTTATTTTGACCTGAGGAGCTGCTTCCCTTTGAAAACGCCAGATTTTGTGCATTATTTCATGTTTTGTCCTTCAGCCACATTTACTCAGATACATTTACTGGAGTATTACTTGTTTTTGAAGTAATTACTTTTCCCTCTGTGACAAAAGCTTTATTTTGGTCAAATTTTTGTGTCTGTCCATTGAAAACACCAGATTTTGTGCATTATTTCATGTTTTGTCCTTCAGCTACATTTGTCAGATACATTTAGTCAGATACATTTACTTGAGTAACTTGAGTACGGTGAGTAATATTAGTTTTTGAATTAATTGTACTTACTTACTGTACTTATTTTTGTCTAATTTTTGTATTTGTCCTTTGAAAACGCCAGATTTTGTGCATTATTTCATGTTTTGCTCTTTAAATTACATTAACTTCAAATTCTAAATAACAGAGTGTTTTACGTACAATTGACTACTCTCACCTATAAAGGCTATATAGGCTGGCTGTAAAGCTTAGAAAGATTGGCCTAAATACACAAGTTTATTGGCCTAAATATACAAATTTTGCAGTCATGATAAAACTAGCATGCTAATGTCCACTTCCTGATGATCGGTCAGTAAAATGCTTAGAAGCAGAGGGTCTTATTCGGCCTTATTTTGACCTGAGGCGCTGCTTGTACAGAACATTTAATACATGGAAAAACTACAGGTTTGGAAGTAAAACGTTAAATGCCACTGTGGAACATTCCGGGGAAAGCATCTCTATTAAAAGTTACATAATGCGTCTTTAATTAGCCCTAATGTCTGCAGTAATTACACAGTTGCTCTTTATTACGCCCGTGTGTTTATTTGTGCAGGTTTTTGTCGTCTACCTGTAATTAGGAGTACTGCCTGTGTAGTACTCTAACCCCTCCCCCTCCCCCCGCCCCCCGCCTCACATCTGGGTCACACATGTCCCAGATGTTGGACCGGGAGTGAACCAGCCCACACGCACACACACACGCACACACACACACACGCACACACACACACACACACACAACATTCATATATAGTGGCACTTGTGTTCAGAGTTCTATGGGGAATTTCCCAGACATTTAAATGCGTTACAGAACTTTCCACTCGAGCTGCACAGTGTTGAGCAAAAAAAAAAAAAAACAATTTGAAAATATTGTCTGAATGCAATAACTGTAAATGGAAAATAAATCTATCTCAAATGAGTTCAGCTTGAAGCTCAGTTGCACACATAAAAGGATCACGAAAGTTTCAGCTCAGTTCGTCTTTATTCTGAACTCATGGTCCATTTTTAAAACAGACAAGAACAGTGACAATACAAAACAATTAACATTTACGTTTTTAAAAGACAACCATACCCATGTCTCCACGTATTGGACTGAATCTCATATTGGGAGTGACATTATTATTTCATTGTCCAATTTGTTCAATCTGCAAATAAAACTGCACATTAAAGTTCTTAGTGCAGCCTGCAGTGTTTGCTCGTGTAGTAACAAACATCTCCGTCGCACTCGTCCATCGTGACCTCCTCAAACGCACCACAAAGCTTCAGTGTAGCACCTGCAGTCTTTGCAAACGCTTTTTTGTAATTAGTCCAGAGATAGGTTGTGTACAACAGTGTACAATATGATTTGAAGAATAACACCTTTACATCATTTGTTCATGAGCCAAACTTAGGCCTCGTCCACACTAGTTCGTATTCGAGTTGTTTTCGTTGTGGATGCAGTGTTCATCCACACTAATCCGATTGAAAATGGCTCCAGAGGTGAAACGATCTGGTGCCACCAGCTCCCACACATTCATCTGAGGACAGATCTGATCCGGCACTGTGTGGACGCCTGAAAACACTGATACTCTGATGTAGTTCTGTGCACCGCAACGTAGTTAATTCACCGCCAAAACACTAAGAGGCTAGAATATATGTTCATTCATTTATACAGTCTGTGTGTACGACCTGCAGACGTATAATCTCTAAAAAGTTTCACATGAACCATCTCCAACACGACAGAAGCACAGAACAGACTCACCATCAGCAGAACATCCCTCTGTCACAGAAAGAACACTCATATTCCACTGAGTCGTGTCCTTTAGTCTGACAGAAGCTGAACCGCATTAGTGCACAGTAGTGAGCTGTATTTTGAGCGCTTAGTTTATGCAAATTTGCCACGTGATTTTAAATTTCGTTTCTATAAAACGTAAACAAATATGCTCAAAGCTGTGTGGATAGGGAAGACTTGCGGGCACAGAAATGAGTCAGTTCTCACTCTGAGCCGCCATGCTCGTCTTAAAATCCAGTGTTACGCTAAGTAACACCTGAACCTCGTTGTTGGTCCATGAAAAGACAAGTGTTTTTACACTCACCATCTCCCTCGGCTCAAAATCAGCTGCTGCAACTTCAGACTTCCTTGTTTTTACCGCTCACGTGACGTATGAGACGTCGTGACAACATGACACCAGCTGATCACCTGACTAGTGTTTCAGGCGGTTTTGTGTTACTGTGTGGACAGGGAACGCTTTGATTGTGGATACAGAAACAATATGTCTGGACGCAGATCATTTCCGGTACTGTGATACTGTGATACTGTGATACTGTGATACTGTGATACTGTGATACTGTGATACTGTGATACTGTGATACGGTGGTACGGTGATACGGTGATACTGTGATACTGTGATACTGTGATACTGTGATACGGTGGTACGGTGATACGGTGATACTGTGATACTGTGATACGGTGATACTGTGATACGGTGATACTGTGGTACGGTGATACTGTGATGATACGGTGTACGGTTATACTGTGGTACGGTGATACGGTGATACTGTGATACTGTGTACTGTACGGTTATACTGTGGTACGTGATACGGTGATACTGTGATACGTGATACTGTGATACTACGTGATACGTACGTGATACTGTGATACTGTGATACTGATACGGTGTGATACGGTACGGTGATATGTGATACTGTGGTACGGTGATACTGTGATACTGTGATACGATACTGTGATACGGTGATACGGTGACTGTGGTACTGTGATACGGTGATACTGTGATACGGTGGTACGGTGATACTGTGATACTGTGATACGGTGATACTGTGATACTGTGATACTGTGATACTGTGATACGGTGGTACGGTGATACTGTGATACGGTGATATGGTGGTACGGTGGTACGGTGATACGGTGATACTGTGATACGGTGGTACGGTGGTACGGTGATACGGTGATACGGTGATACGGTGATACGGTGGTACGGTGGTACGGTGATACTGTGATACGGTGATACGGTGATACGTGATACTGTGATACTGTGATACGGTGATACGGTGATACGGTGATACGGTGATACGGTGATACGGTGATACGCGGATTAGTTTTAGTGTAAACGGGGTGTTAGTCATAAGAGTGTTTGCCTGAGCATAGAGTGTCCTACACTGTCTGTACATATCACCATCACCTGTCATGTCGGCACTGATGATCTGCCCAAGTTATTTTACTTTTGTTGTAACAGTCAACACAGCATTGGACAGGCAAAAGTCAGGATATCTCATGTGCTTGTCGTCTTTAGTCCTCATGGTCATACTCTTGGTTGCATTATAATTTATATCCTGCTCCACACTGTGAGCTGAACACATGTTGAGTAACTGCTGGAGACCAGCGGCGCTCTGACTAAAAACCATCAAGTCATCTGCAAACATTAAATGATACACAACAAGATTTCCAGCCACACAACCAGTTTGACATGTTTTAAGCTTTGTTGACAATTCATCTAAATACAAATGAAATAGAGAAGCAAAATCATATTTTTTTACTTTTAAAGGTTCTATTGTGTAACTTTTCTGGTGGAGGGTCCGTCAAATGCTTTGCACCATGGAGATGTTATTGCTTTATCTGGAATGTGTCGTTGTGGCCTTGGGCAAGACACTTAACCCTCCTCGCCCCAGTGTCTGCGTATATGAATGTGTGTGAGTGGTTCCTTGTTGTAAAGTGCTTTAAATGCCTTAAAGTTGGAAAAGCGCTGTAAATCTGTGACCATTTACAATGTTTCACAGTACGGCATTAACCTTTCTATCTTTTATAGCTTGCAGTTTATACATCATTTATTCACTTTACAACACCACAAAACAAAAAACAAAACAAAACAAAACTACAAGCCCATAGATCATGATCAAAAGTGTTTAAGCTGAAGTAAAAAGTACTTCTAATGGCAAATCCTATTAAACAATGACAGAATTCCAAGAAAAAAACAGCGCATGAACAGCACGTTTACATTTACAATTTCACTTACAACTTACTGTATATAGAAGAGACAAAATATAAATGAAAACAAACAAAATGTAATGCATAATTCAATCATTCCAGAGCTCTATATCTTTCAAAACTTTCAAAACATTTTATACTATTTTTTAAAGGTGTCTACAGTGTTTTAAAATCATCACTCAGGTTATTCTATACACTAACCCCTCAAACAGAAATACAATCACTTTTTTTCTTAGTTCTTAGCCTTGTACATCACTAAAGCTGAACTCAGGTCAACAAGATTTTAAAAAAATGAAGTACTTTGAGCTTAACAAAAAGAGGCTTTGCTGATGCATAGTAATTTGCATGATTAATAATCCTAATAACCTTCTTTTGGAGTAGAAAAAGAGCTGTTTAATGTCACACTGTGAAATATTCCAGGCAGTGCAGTGACATATCCGTAGAAACAAGCAGGCGACGGACTTCCAACTGAACAAAAATGTCAAAATGTGTCAAAATGTGTCAAAATGTGTGTGCATTGATGTAAAACCACTGTGTTTTGTCCCTTAACCCTGTGTCAGCTGATGGGCCTGGCCGTGTACAACAGCATCGCTCTGGACATACACTTCCCTCTTTATGTTTACAGGTACATCTCTGCTTCTGCACTGTTTACAATTTGTGTCAGTAGTTTGTAGTAGTTGCAGCATGTTGTAGTTGTAGTAGTAGTACTTTTTACTTCTAGTACAATATACCCTCTAAACGTCTGCAAACAAAAATATTCAAAATTCGAACGGGAAAAACTTGGGGCAAAAGTGAAGCGATTTTGGAGAATTTGAGTTTTGTAATTTCCAAAACTATGAAAAATTAAAGAGGTTTTGCCAAATTCTAACCACTCATATAAACATAATTTCTTATTGTTAACCTGTGTTTTTAGTTTTTAGTCACCTTTACTTTAAAATGTACAGTGGATAATTTTACTTCACTACATTTGAGAGCAACTAAACGAGACTGAAATGTAAAAAGTATTTTGTGTATGATTTGTGGGGTTGTTTTAATTGTTCATGGTGGACTTTTGGTTGAAAAGTTAAGAGTTCAAGTCCCATCTTTGAGCAAACGAAACATAAATGTCCTCTCCTCTCTCTTACAGAAAGCTCCTGACTCCGCCCAATGCACCGTGTGACCCAAACGCCCTGGTTGGCATGGCGACGGCTACTCTAGAGGACTTGCAGCAGGTCATGCCGGTAAGTAGCAACATAGATCCATCTACAGAGAATTATTACAATGATTTAAACGCTGCTCACAACCGCATTTAAAGGAGGAAATGTGGGAGTCGTGGTGGGGTCTGGAGGTAGAAGGAACAGTGTGATTGGTCTAACAGGTATCTATACTTAGAACAGCCAGGTGTTTGGATCAGAAACACCTGGTTGTGCATGGAAACCCGACCGAAGTCCGACGGGACCTGTTAAAACCTGACAGATTTGGTTGGGCTCGGACAAATATTTAGAACTTATGTCCGGGCTCGGGTCAGACTCGGACACATCAGCGCGATATGACATTTGAAATCAGAGATAACAACCTGGTCCCACATGAGGCATCGGTGGGGGCAGTTCATCACCACAGAAGCAGATTATGAGGAGCCCAGCCCATACACCTGGTTATGTGTGTGCCAACTTGTGTGATGATTGGGTGAATATTTTAGGCCGCAGATGGTTCAGAAATTGCCTATCCTTTATAATGGTGTGACCTTTCAATTGACTCGTGTGACCTCAAATGACCTCGGATCGTCACCAAACTTTTTTTTGCGGCATCAGGCATCAGGGCTTGACCCACGTACCAAATCTGGTGACAGTCAGTCCATAAATGGCGGAATTATTGCTGGTGGATAGACACGTAGACACACAGGGTAAATTCAAAACCTGCTCAACCCTTTGGGACCAGGTTATTAAAACTGTTTAGGCTTTTACAGCATATTGCCTTCTTCTTAGACTTGTGCTGTGATCCATGTATTGTTTGCTGGACAGAGTCAGAGTCCAGGATGGTGCTCACAGAGGCGAGCCACTGAACGGAGCCGTACCGTTGCTCCCCTGTCAAAATTTGCTTGACGTTGGCCTGTTTCAGTTGATGCATTCGTTTTTGTGATAAAAAAAAGAAGAAAATATTAGGCTACTCTAACATGGTTCTTCTTGTTCACGAGGTTTTTCTATTGCTGTGACAATAAAACAGGTGCGGTCAGTGCAGTTGTGTCGACGTGGTAGCAGAGATGGAAGATATCAAAAAGAAGTTAGCCTCTAGAGAATTTAAAACTACCAAACAGGAGAGAGGAAAGTGTACTGTGTGGAAACATTATAAACATAGTTCCACGCAAACAATATCCTCTGTGTGTCATTGAAAATAGTGTGATTTTAATTGTGTCAGGTTCAGTCAGACTCAAACACAAATATCTTAATGCCTATCAGGCTTGGGTTGGATTCAATCACTGCTCTGTCGGATGCAGGCCGGTCTCGGACAGAAAAAATCGTCCTGATCTACACTCTACTGTGTGATGTCATGTAGTACTTGAAATTTTGACCAGAAAGCTGCAGATTGTCGCAGTTTGCACCAAAAAGTTGACTCAGTCTTTAGTTCCATTTACGCTGAATTATGTGGACAAATTTCCTGTTCAAACTGCAGACAAGTGCGCTGACTTTTGTGTTAGAAAACTGTGGTGTCCAATGGGAGCTGACGTCGTGGTAAACATCATCCCTCCTGTGGATAGCTGCACATCACACGAGAACAGACTATTTTTTTAAATATTTGGATCAAAATGACTACACAGCACTGCCCAATCCTATGTGTATCACCGATTAAGAGCATGAAATGTGAGACTGAAGTCAGTACAGAGCGAGGCGTGTACCAGTGGAGGTGAAAATGGTTGAATTTCAGAGGAATAAGGTCTTGAATACATTAGAATAAAAATTTGAAACTTGAAGGAAACAGCTACAACATGGTTAAAAGCTCTGAAAAATCAAGGTCTGCTTTAATCCTCCGAATTCAAATCATTGGGGTAGGACACTTTATTAAACTTCATCCTGTTCCTTTTGAGCACCAGGTCCCAAATATGTTCATGTACATATATCCCTGTTTTTGTTATTGTTTTGGAAATGTATTTGTACCTGGCTCAAACAAATAAATAAATGAAATTTTAACCTACTAATAGATATTTTACTTACTCACATTCCCTCCCAGCCTGCTCCTCTCAGTCCATGTCCCCTTGTTCGCCACCAGAGGGCGCCACAGTATTAACAATGTCGCTGCAGTGTGATCATGTGAGCTGCTTCCTGTGCAGATCAGACACATGAGACAGATTAGACTGAACCTTCAGGGGGTATTTTATGTAATACACAGTGTAGTCTGGCTCAGGCATTACTCAGCATTTATGTATCTGACTAAATGATCTTTATTTTCATTTTTTAAAAGACATCGACGCACAAATGCAGTCTTAACACACACATATAGACACACAAATGCAGTCTATACACACACATATAGACACACAAATGCAGTCTATACACACACATATAGACACACAAATGCAGTCTATACACACACATATAGACACACAAATGCAGTCTATACACACACACATATAGACACACAAATGCACTATACACACACATATAGACACAATGCAGTTTACACACACACATATAGACACACAAATGCATCACACACATACACACAATAGACACACAAATGCAGTCTATACACACACATATAGACACACAAATGCATACACACACATATGACACACAAATGCAGTCTATACACACACATATAGACACACAAATGCAGTCTATACACACACATATAGACACACAAATGCAGTCTATACACACACACATATAGACACACAAATGCAGTCTATACACACACATATAGACACACAAATGCAGTCTATACACACACATATAGACACACAAATGCAGTCTATACACACACATATAGACACACAAATGCAGTCTATACACACAAACACATAGACCAGGGGGGTCCAAACTTTTTTCATCTAGGGCCACATATCTAAACGTAGACGAAGCAGAGGCCGATCGAGAGCCGTAGACTGATGCTCAGTACAGTGAATAATTGAAATATGTGCATGTTTAACACGTTAGAAAGAGCCATCGGTCTTTATTCATGCTGAAATCCTTAAAACCAAACACTAAATATTCAATATTAGTTATATCGAGGTAGATTTTCAAAAAACTTGCAGTAAAAAAATCATTTTTAATTGATGCAAGGTCATTTGGGCCAATTCACCTTGAACTCTGAGGGCCAAGAAACATTTGTCTGAGGGCCGCATTTGGCCCCCGGGCCATAGTTTGGACATGCCTGACTAGACACACAAATGCCGTCTATACACACACATATAGACACACAAATGCAGAATATATACACACAAATTATACATATACAAATATATACAAATACATTTTCAGACTGATAGCTGTGAGACGTTCTAGGCTCGTGTGTCAGTATCTAGTACTACTATTACTCCTGTACTACTGTCACTTCACTCTACTGCACATGTCTCCTGTAGAAATAGCTGCTGTCCTGCTGCAAATAGTGAAATATTCAGCCGAAAACCGTAATCGAGCAGCAGAAAGAAAGTTTGGAGTGAGCGAGAAACTCGTGAGGGACTGAGGGAAAGCGAGGATGGACAGTAGATCTTCACGGCGACCGGGAGGGTGCGCCGTGTTACTTTCCTGGAAGTCACTGGATGAATCGACAAAGCCTGAACTTCAATGACAAAATGTCGGACGAAATGTCGGTTAATGGTCTCTGATTTTATAAAATACATTTCCCCAAAAAGTGTGACTTATAGTCTGGTGCGACTTATATGTTTGTTTCGTCTTCATTGTGCATTTTTTGGCTGGTGCGGTATTTGCTTGTTTCCATGTAAATGTTCAGGCTTTATCTTGAATGTTCCATAGTATTGCCTGTGTTTGGAAATCTTTACTCTTGTCTTGACTCTTTACTGGGTTTAGTTGTTGATTAATGGTTTAGGGTTTTGCAGCGAGCTAACTAATAACTTTAACTCTAATCCTGCTCTTTTATGTCGACACTTCGACCTTGTGCGTCCGTAAAAGTCGATTGCTCACGTTAATACTAACTTACTCACTGATTGTTGTGTCTTGACTTGTGTTGACCTAGTCTTGTGTTGATCCATCCTGTCTGCATCAGTCATGTGCCCTTTGCCCTCTCTGTGTGATTAAATAAATTATAAAGGCTAAATAAAGTTTGCAATGTTGTGGTTACAGCTTAGGAACAGACGACTCTCGGTCAGGGGCAGTTTTGTGATTGTGTTGCACTAGGGATGTAACAATAACCAAAATATCGTGATATCTTATCATCAAAATTCTCACAATAATATCGTGGACCATCACAATATATCGAATTACAAGTCTCTTTGTTTAAATGAAGAGTTATGGTGCAGCAAAAGCTAAAGAAAAGACAGAAGGAACTACATAGACCATGATCCTTTGCTCCATTTCAGTGCGGACTACAAGAAGAAATAACAGTTCTAACACTTTTAAGTCTTAGTTCTTAAGTCTTGTCAAGGCATTTTAAGAGGAAAAAGTAGCATATTAACAGTTTTATCTGTTTAGCCTCCACAAAGTATCGCAATATTGTACTGTGAAGTTCATACCGTGATGATATCGTTACACCCCCAGTAAACACCTTTCTTTCTCTATCTAACTCAGTTTTGGAAAACCGTGTATCCATAGTATAGCATTTGTTATTTGGAAATCTTGACTCTAGTCTTGACTCTTTACTGGGTTTTAAAGGTTGTGGGTTTTGCAGCGAGCTAACTAATAACTTTAACTCTAATCCTGCTCTTTCATGTCGATTTTCCGGCCTTGTGCGTCCATAAAAGTCGATTGCTGATGTTTATACTAACTTGTTACTCACTGATTGTTGTGTCTTGACTTGTGTTGACCCAGTCTTGTGTTGACCCATCCTGTCTGCATCGGTCATCTGCCCTTTGCCCTCTCTGTGCGGGGTATAAAGATTAAACTAAAGTCTAAAGTTTGCATTGTTGTGGTTACAGCTTAGAGACAGATGACTCTCGGTCAGGGACAGGCAGTTTTGTGATTGTGTTGCACTAGGGATGTATCAGTAACCGAAATATTGTGATATCGTATCGTATCAGAGTTCTCACAATAATATCGTGGACCATCACAATATATTAAATTACAAGTCT